TAGACCCGGGGCCCAGTTCTGCTAAGCCCTAGATCAGTGCTCCACTGACCCACTGTCCTTGCCCAGGGCAGTGAGAAATAGGGTCAACCATGGTGAAGAATTTATTTATTTTTTTAAAATATATTTTTATTGATTTCAGAGAGGAAGGGAGAGAGAAAGAGAGATAGAAACATCAGTGATGAGAGAGAATCAGTGATTGGTTGCCTCTTGCATGACCCCTACTGGGGATCGAGCCCACAACCTGGGCATGTGCTCAACGGGGCATTGAACCGCCCACAACCTGGGCATATGCTCAACGGGGCATTGAACTGTGACCTCCTGGTTCATAGGTCCAAGCTCAGCCACTGAGCCATAGCGGCGGCAGGATGACCATGTTGAATAATTTAACTTTGATTACTGGCTCATAGGCATTTGACTGCTTTACTTAATTCCGATGTAAGCAAGAGAGTATAATCCAAGTACATTCTAATAAGTGATCAGGGGGACGCAAATGTTCTGAAGCAACATTAAAATGATGACCACTTCTATATCCATGTTTACAGCAGCATTATTCACAATAGCTAAAACACAGAAGCCACCCAAGGGTCATTGACAGAGGTACTCTAAAGAGGATACCTATAGATCTAAGATACAAATACTCTTAGAGCATTTGAGTACTCTCAGTAGTCAAAATCACTGAGATAGAAAGTAGAATGGTGGTTGCCAAGGACTCTGGGGAGAGGGAAATGGACAGTTAGTGTTTCATGGGTACAGAGTTCTGGAGATGGATGGTGATGATGGTTGTAAAACAATATGAATGTACTTCATACAACTAAACTATACACTTGTAATAGCTAAGATAGTATGTTTTAAGTTATGTGTATTTTACTACATTTTTTTTAAAATGAAAAAGCAAATAATGACGACAAATCGTTCATCTATCCTATTGGTGCAATGTTTCTGTTAAGAAGGTCTGCAAAATGTTTTGCAGTCATTTATTAGCTTTGAGATGTTTTGTCAAATCAAAGTACATTCTTTAGATAAGAAGTTTGGTTTGCTTTGATATTTAATTACCTTCCCTTTAGCTAGGGCATAGATTTTCCAGATGTACAACACCCCCAGTACCTAGTGGGAGCTCACAGCCTGGCACATAGTAAGTGCTCCATAAACATTTTTCAAATAAATAAATAACAGCAAAGGCTAACGTCTATTTTGAGCATTTTTTTCAGAGGTAGATTTACCTTGAAGCTGATAAAGCTGAAGCTTCAGTACCTTTCACTTTAACAAGCCCTCACTGGACCCTGGAAGAGGCCTTAGCAACATATTCACAAAGTCAAATGTTCACACAAAACTTGCAAAGGTAAGATTGTCTTCTTTTTTATTAAAAAGGTCCCCAAAGTTACATAATTTTCAGGTTCCCAGATCTGGATCTGCTGCTGTACTTATTGCCTTTCTCAGGACTCTGATGATTACCTTCCATGGCTGCCTCATGCCATCCTCACAACAACCCTATGATGTAGATGCTATTGTTATCACCACTGCTCAGATGAAGAAACTAGAGAACTTGACCACAATTACCTTGAGATGCAAGGATGTACCCTGGCATTTGAGACCAACTCTATTGAGCACTAGGGTAGATCAAACATGGCTCTAGTTCTTATTAATTTAGGTGTGTGTTTGGTAAAACTATAATTTCATCTGAAGTAACTGCAATAATAATAATGAGGGTGGCTGGTCTTTTAAAATAACTTATGACTGGTGAAAATCATCTCTCTATATAAAAGCCTAAGTGACCATTAGACTGTTCAACCATTTGACTGGTAGCTATGATGCACACTGACCACCAGGGGGCAGACGTTCAATGCACAGGCATAGAAACATGGAACAGACTGATGAATCTCAGAGGGAAGCGGGGAGGAGGGGCAGGAAGAGATTAACCAAAGATCTTATATGCATACTAGAGGAGTCCCTTGGCCTGGCCTGCGGAAATCAGGCTAAAACCAGCAGTCCAACATACCCTGAGGGGTCCCAGATTGTGAGAGGTTCAGGCCAGGCCGAGGGACCCCACCGGTGCACGAATCTGTGCACCCGGCCTTTAGTTTCTTATACAGGATCTTCCTATTCCCACCTCCATTAAATATTCTTGTTTAGTTGATGGAGGAAAATTTAGGAAAGAGAGGAAAATGAAGAGGGTGAGGCTGAAGAGGGGTGCAAAAAGAAGAAACATGTAACCCCATGTTAAAGGAGATTTCCTGCACTCTCTCCCAGCTTTTTTCCTTTCTTTTTGAGGGATGTGCATGGGTACGTGGTATCTGAGGAAGTTCCATTTTGGTTCTCTGCTATTTGTATCTGTTCTGACCCCAGTACTTCTACTCTGGGGGCCCTATTTCTAGTCTAAAAGTGCCACAGGTCAGAGGGCAGAAAGGAATCTTTCCTGTAAACATCCTCTGGGCCTCTCCCGGAAAAGGTAACCAGTGACCACTGCTTCCTGTCTTTATTCAAGTTCTTGGAGCAAATAATACAATTTTCTATTCCTCTAAGATTTCTTGGGGCCCAGAACGGAAGTGGAAATGTCACAGGATTGAAAATCTCCTCCCATTGAGAGCTCTGCTCTGTCAGACTCGGATTCTCTGGCTTAGAAATCTCATTCATGGCCCTGGCTCCCAGCAAGATGCTGGGCCTGGCACTTAGGAAATGTTGACAACTGACTCCTCCCTCCTCAGAGGCCTGCTGCCACGAACCCGGAGAAATACACCCAGTTTTTTCTGTGCCCTCCCAAAAGTTTTCTATCCTGCCTTTTCTATCTCTTACTACAGTGCAATTATCACCCAGCTGGCCAAATCGTATAGTCACCTCGTCCAATCCCGCCCTCCCCTCTGATCCCAAATACAGTTGACCTTTGAACAACTCAGGTTTGTACTGTATGGATCCACTTACACGTGGATTTTTACAAAATAAATATTGTAAATTTATTTTCTCTTCCTTATGGCTTTTCTTAATAACATTTTCTTTTCTCTAGCTTACTTTATTGTAAGGAAACAGTATACGTATAATACATATAATATACAAAATATGTGTTAACTGACTATGTTATTAGTAAGGTTGCAGTCAACAGTAGGCTATTAGTTACGTTTGGGGGAACTGAAAAGTTATACACGGACTTTCGAACATATAGGGGGTCGACACCCCAACCCCCCACATTGTTCAAGGGTCAACTGAAACCATCAAATCCCATACGTCTTCATTCCTGTCAATGCCTCAACTCATTCCCTATTTCCCATTTTCTTTGCGGTACTCAGTTCACAGCCTTTACCGGGTCTGGGGTATTAGAATTGCTTCCTGATCGGGTTCTTTGCCTTTGGAGTCTTTCCTTTCCAGAGGTGGATTTACCGTTTAGTAATCAACCCTAAACTCCAGGAAACCCTGCTTGCATAGACAGACCTCTTTCCACTGTTTGTATCTAATTTTGTATTTGTAACTTTATATTCCTTCTCTTAAAGAAGACTCCCAAAACTATATATGCTTCAGAACGCTCCAAAGAGGATCTTCCCCCCCCCTACCCATTTTGCATTCAGCTGCCAGACTAATCTTTATTATTTTTTCATAGACTTTATTTCTAAGAGCATTTTAGGTTCACAGAAAAATTGAGTGGAAAGTTCAGAGTCCCCATGTACTCCTTTCCCCTAATAGGTACAACCGTCCCCACTATAGAGACCCCATACTAGAGTGGTGCATTTGTTACAGTTGATGAACCTACAGTGACCCATTATTATCACCTGAAATCTATAATTTACATTAAGATTAATCTTTTAAAAATTATATTCCTTCATGTTACTTTTCCACTTTGAAACTGTTCAATAAAATGCCACCTACTTTTCTAAAGTCTATCTCCTTATTTGGACATTCAAGGCTCTCCATCATCTGCCTCAATTTTACTCTTCAAATTTATTTCCCAATAATCACCTATAGACACATACGGAGACTTCAAGCAGGCTCTCAATTGTCACCTCTCGGCTTTGTTCACATCGTCTCCACAAAAGGTGGCTTAATCCAACTTAACAAAGATGTGCCAAGAATTAATAGGGTGTCCATCTGCCTCCAGTCTAACCATCAAATCCTACCCAGTTTATCCCACTCAGTCGGTGACCCCTCCTTGTCCATCCTGCTTGCTACAAGCCTGCTTGCCCCAATAGCAGCAGTTTCTAGTTTTAATGGGCCAGAAAGAGTTTTCAAAATAATAATAAAGTCCAATATAGGATTGCCAAGTTTTTCTTCTCCCAAAATAAAGACTTTTAAAAAGTACCATCAAAATTATCTTACTAAAGAAAAAACTTTTATAACTCAAAAAGCACAAAAGGCATAATCTCAGAAAAATGGCAGTTGTTGGTTTGTTTGTTTTTTTCAAAGCAGTACACTCAGCCTTGAAAAAACTCACTACATTTTTCTTTCCTGTGTGACTGAGGTAGTGGAAACGACTCAGACTGGCTTTGGGGAGCGATTCTATAGCAGTTCTGGTCTCCACCACCGGTGTAGCCCTCACTCACACACTGCCTTCGGCCACATTTAGTGTTGTTGATTGTATTCACCGTCTTGTGCACATAGGTCAACTCCTCAACTAGCAGGTAAGCTTTATAAAGAACCTCTATAAGAACTGCACCTTCAATTCCCCCCAAGGCCATGTGCCTAGAAAATGTTCAGTAAATATTTGCTGAATGAATGAATGAGCCTAGAGTAGGCTTTCTAAGCCTGTGTAACCAATAAATCTCCTCTTAATGGAATATGAATGCCTCGTCCTGAGGCAATTTCTTTCAATAGACTTCTTTAAAAAAAGTTAACCTGTACAAATTGCTTTGCTTTTGAGTGAAACTTGGAAAAAAAAAAACCTGATATGAAAAGTAAACAGTTTCTTCCTCAAGGCAGTAGCAAGCCTCAGCAAAGAGAATCAAGACACACACCTTTTGTAACCTGTCATTTAATTGATCCCAGTTATTTTGGGCTTTGTTGGTAGGCATGCTCACGGTGTGTGCTTCTGGCTTGACCTGACTTGATAGGGTGGGTGGCTTTCCTTCTGAGGCTCTTGCCCACACGCCTAAAGCCTCCATAATACCCATGTTGTTTCTTTCTCTACCTGGGTGATTTCAAAAGGAAAGGAAAGACGGTTAACATCTTCCTGGCCAAGTCTTGGCTTTAGATTCAGGAGTTGAGAATAATTCAGAAAAGTGTCTTTTGGATTCTTTTCACTCAGCATCCAGAATTATCTTTCAAAATAAAAATAAGTTCACACCTCCGCTTAAAATATTTATTGCTTTTCCATTTCATCCCATTCAATAGTGATTGATTTATCTGCCACCTGCCAGGCCCTGTTCTAGATGTTGGGGATATATCACTAAATAAAACAGACACAAATTCCTGACTTCCTAAAGCTCATGGGAGGGGGTGTTGGAGACAAACAAGAAATAAATAAATAAATAATGTGTTATACTATATTAGAAGGTGATAGATGCAAAGGAAATTATTTGGAGCAAGAGAGCTGTTTCAATTTAGATGGAAATGTCAGGGCAGGTCTAATTGAGAAGGAGGCTAGAGCAAAGACTTGAAGGAGGTAAAGGGCCATGAATGTCTTTTTGGGGTCTCTTCTGAGAGAAGAGGAAATGCCTTCTACAGGATGATTTCACCTGGTACCTTGGCACCTTATCTCCTGCTCATTGGCCCTCCCTCACTGTTCTCTAGCCACCCTAGCCATCTCCCACCTCAAGGCCTTGCATATACTGTTCCAACAACTCAGCATTCTCCTTTCCCATCCCTGGTCTCTGGACCAATTCCTCATCTTCAGGTCTCAATCTGAATACTACTTCCTCAGGTGGGCTTGCACTGTCCCCCAAATCATTATAACTCAAGTGCCCTCCCACAATAATTCTTATAACCCTCCATTCTGATAATAAATACTGTGCGAGTAAAGAAACAAACAAAAAGGGCTAAAGAGGGGTGAGCTCTTTGAGAACAGGGATTCTGGCTTATTCATGTATCTTCAGTGCAAGGCACATTGATGAATGTATTTGATAGTCTTTCTCTTCATAAATAAGCTTCATTATCGTGCAAATATGAATATCATATATCATTTTGGTAGAAATAAGGATCAAGTTATTACTTACTTATGTTTAATAATAATAATAAACAAGATAAAGAAAGGAGATGAAGTATTAAATTGTGTTATTAGGAATGAATTCCCTCCCGGCTTCACTGTTTCAGCACAGTCAACCTTCCCTACAGATGAAGTAGGTAGGCCTAGAGTTCAACCCTTTAGGACGATCTCCCACTCAGTGAAGGGTCAGCTGGTACCTTCCTAACTTCTTGTGAGTTCTGGTTTTCTCAATAGGAGAGTCCTACCCAACAGCAAGTTTTGCTTCCTCTTCTTTTTATTTTCTTTATTGATTAAGGTATTACATATGTGTCTTTATCCCCGCACTGCCTCCCCAACCCCCGCTCATGCCCTCACCCCCCTGATGTCTGTGTCCTTTGGTTATGCTTATATGCATGCATACAAGTCCTTCGGTTCTCAAGTCTAAGATCAACATGTCCTTCAATTTCCTCTGTGCCTCAGATTAATTTAAAATAACTGTCATTGTATATCAAATTCTCAATTATCTGGAATAATTAAAACATCCTTAAAATTTCCCCTATAAACATTCACACTTTGGGGGGTATTTCCAGGAGTGTTTTCTTGTTGATATTTGCTCAGCTATACCATAAGAATGATACATATATACATTTAATCTCTGCCTCATTTCCAAATGCATTTTAGGCGACATAAAAATCATGCAATATAATTGAAACAATAGAGATAAATCACAGCAAATAGATAATGACAGTAAAGTTGATACTATTATAATTAGCTAGTTATTAATAATAGGAAGGAGAAAAATGGAGGCCAAACATTATAAGCATTGCCATTTGGGCAGCTTAATCAGGGGGCTGCAGTTTTACACTCCCCAGGGAATCACCAGCCCATTCCCCCACAGATCACTGGGGAAAGGGATCAAAAAAAGGGGAAAGAGATGCATGTGCAGTAAAGTCGGGTGACCTGGGGAAGATACCTGTCAGTCAAACCTGGAAACAGAGATCATTGGCCAGAGGGGGCAGGGCCAATGAAAGCCCAAGATAAATTGGGAACAAGAAACCCCCTGGACAAAGGAGCTCGTTCACTTGGTACTCTTGTCTCTGGCTCTCTGGTTCCTTTGGTTTTGCCCCTGCTTCCCTACCCTTGCCCATGTTCCCTCCATAGCCATGTGGCCCTGTGGACCCCACGTGCAATAAAGTAATGGAGTGCAGCGGGGAACACAGCTAAGCTAGTCTGATACTGGGTTAGACTGCAGGCGTGGAACAGAAACTCTGGTCAGCAGCTTTAATCCTAACTCCACTGAAGCCACAGCTATACTTCTTCTATTATGGGATGAAGGGAAATGGGACCTTGGAAACTCAGGTGTGTAATTCCACAGAAATAAAGCTTTCTACAATATCTCATCCTCTTGTACGAGTCTCAGAAAATTCTTTTTCTTGAGATATAGCAAGAAGCTCACTCCCACCAGCAACTGGCGGGGACAAGGAGAGCTCCCCGCCCATAAAAAAGTGATGCAAAACATACTGGTAAAGCCACTGCATAGCAATTCCAGCTAGGATTCAAGCAGTTACTAAGGAAGGACCAAAATATGGCTCTGAGCAGTGAAGGAATCAGGCCAGTTGTAGGATTCATGATGTTCTGCAAGATACATTCTAGGGGCTCAGGAGATTTAAGACCTGAACGACCTATCTCTCATACATCCTCAAAAGAGGTAGTGATGTCATGAATAACAGTTAAAGCAAGTGAGTATTCAATAGCTGCTTCTTAGAGTGTCACTTACCGAGCCTGAAGTGACAGCTTCAAACATTCATCTCTCTGAGGGAACAAATGATGTAGTTCAAATTATATGATTTGATTCAGTTGAAAATATCTAAAAGAAACAATAGACTGCATTCTTTCATAAATCTTATTTTCTCCAACCAAGATTTGATAAGTTGCAAGCAACAGAGAAATCAAGAATAAGTTGTTAGCTAGGGACCTGGCATGTTGAAACTCCATATTTCTGATTAGATGCAGATCTACACCCAAGAGCTTGGCATCCACTTGTGAAGACGTAGGTTCCTAACCAGGTCAGGTGCCTGCAGAGACCTACCTCTGTAGCGAGGCAGACTAAGGCGTACCCATGGGCGAGAGCCAGATTTCCTTCAGAAAACAGTTCCCGTTGGCTCTAGCACAAACAACAAATGGATAGCCAGAACCCCATGAAGCATGACCACCATGTGACATAAATAACAACCCTCCCACAAACATATCATACATTCCACAGTTAAATATAAATTTAGTTTTCTATTATCCTGTTTTGGTTTATTCATCCTGTGGCTCCCCACCCGTTAGAGTAGATAGTTGAAAATTGACTGTTAAAAACAAAACCAACCTGCAGAGTAAAAGTTATTTTGGATTAAAGACTGGGCCCTAGGCTGTTGGCTCAGTGTTTAATTTGGCTCCGTCCCAAACCAGTCCTATGTAGGTAGGGGATAGGTCACCCCATATAGCTTCCTCTGCCAGCAGGATGATTTTGTTTATTAGAAAATATGTACACTTGGTAAGCTGTCAAAGTGAGTTGTACTTAAGGTATGCATTATTCAGAGGGAGAAAATACTTTCAGCACTACTTGAAGTCTTTATTCCTGACAACGCATTAAGAATTCAACACAGTAATCTTATTGTTTTAGCTGTTGCTTTCACCATTACTCACAATATGACTGGAAACAAAACCTACTGATGATTTTTCCCCCTGCCATGTTTTGTGTGTGTGAATTTTTTTTTTTAACTTTTAGTTTGGGATAAATGCGCCTAACAATCCACCATCTGGTGTCCAAATATTTTTACAGACATGAATCCAAATACCACAAAATCATTGCTCCAGCTCAGGTTATGTGGGTCTTTTTCTCAGGCAGACTTTTTTTTTTTTGGTATTAAATGTGATTATTCCTGAACTATGAGAATCTCAGCCAGGAACCTGAAGATTCAGCCTTGAGAAGAAAACTTGCTGTGTTGACCAATATAAAAAAAGATGGAAGGGAGAACTCCCCCTGGAGCTGATTTCAAGAGAAAAAATGAACTTTGATTTTTGTTATCATCCTCAGCCGTACACAAACTGAATCAGTGTCGACTTTTGCTGCATTCCTGGCGTAATCATCACTGGTGGAAGAAGATAAGGTGCGAGTAAACTCTGTGGGAATCAAATTTCAGCCCTGTCAGGTGTAATCAGAACCAGCGTCTTAAAACAAAGGCTCCACTCCACCTCCTCAGTCAGAGGACGGTTCACTTCCCCAACCCCCAGGCACTACGAGGAAAAAGAAGGAGCAAGTTTGCAAGAGCAAAATAAAATCCAACAAAACAATAGCAAGCTTGAGTCTCCCCCTCTTTACACCAGGGATCAATTCCTCTACATTTAATATTGGATTTCCCCCTCTTGCAGTGTAATAATGAGAATAGGTTTTTAGAAAACATGGTTGTCATTTTAAAAAATTAAACCCTTCATAAACTTGCCTTGTGAGTCTGCATTATGGCGGAGTTCCTAGGGCAACACCATGTTGTGAAGAAACAAGGGTAGAAAGAAAAGTTTTCCTTAAAGAAAAGAGAGTGCGTTTGCTCAAAATGTAGCCAAATTTTTAGAGCACAGAGCAGATTGCTCCTGTAAGTGAGTGTGCCACACAGAAACATTAATTAGAATTTGTATTGTTGGATTCTCTCGCACAGTTAAAAACCAGGGAAAAGTGAACCAAACAGGATGACATATCCTTTCAGCTCCCAGCTTTGCTAGTGAAACTAATTGGAATATCCATGAAAATAATGACATAACTCAGCGCTCCATCATGCGTTATTGGTAAGACTGTCCTGGAATGACTGGGTTTTGATGCAGCTGCCTTGAGAGGAAAGGGAGAGATAGTCCAGTCCCATTTTATCGATGGGCAAACTAAGGCACAGTGGAAATTGAGCAGTTATTGCAGAGTCACTGAAAGTCATTGGTGAGCAGGAGACAGGCCAGAAAGAGCGGAGGAAGTGTAGACATTGATGATAAGGCGATAACTAGAGGAAATGAAAACCCAGCAGTGTGGGAAAAGAACAATTAGCCAAGACAGAAGAGCAGGAAGGAATACAGAATGAATTACAATCAGAGGAAACAAGCCAGCAACAAAAGAGGACTGGCGGGTGGGGCCTGAGAGGAGTCGGAGCTGTGACTTAGGAATGCTGGCTTTCTTTCGGTTCTGTCAGGGCTGTATTGTTTGGATGCTGCGGCTCATAATTTAACTCTTTCATACCTCGGAATGTCAAACTCCAAGGCAGCTATCTTTATTCATGCAGTGCTTTGAGATTGTTACACACATATTATGAATTCCAGATAGCAATGATTTCATGATTACTTTAGAAAAACCTGGCCCCCACCCTCCAAAAGGGCTAAAGTGTAAGCTTGGATCGGTAAGCAAAATGTTCCATCAGAAACCACAAGAAACATGTACAGCTTAAGTATTAATTAGCAAGTATAGCTAGTTTAAGAAAAAAGTATTCATTAAAATGAAATATTTTTATTTTTTAACGTTGATTTTAGAGGAAGAGAGGAGGGAGAGAGAGAAACATTGATTTGTTGTTTCACATGTTTATGAATTCATTGGTTGATTCTTGTATGTGCCCTGACCAGGGATCAAACCCACAACCTTGGCATATCGGAAAGATACTATAACCAATTGAGCTAACTGGCCAGGGCTGAATCTTTTTTTTTTTTTTTAAGAAAACCTATAAAGGTGTTTAAAAGTAATTTCTATGACTATCAAAATGAAGTATAAGAGGAAGAAATGTCCTATAACTAGAAGGAGGTGATAGAAAAAAGGACAGTTGTATGAAAATAAGTTCAGTCAATGTGTTTATCACACATGATTATTGGTACAAAAGAAAAAGATTTACTGTGAGCCCAAAATAAAATTGTTGTTTACTCATTCTTAAAAATCGATTGGCAAGAAAGCTAAGGAAGCTCAACTTTAGCCAGCCAAGATGTTAAAATCATGGGAGAAGCAAGCAGAAGGATGAACCAGGCAGCTAGAGTTCTTGAAAAGGAGGAGGAGAGATGATTACAAAGTAGATGAGGATGCTAAATAGGATTAGAAGAACCAGATTCTATTACAAAGGGCTGATTGAGAAGCCTAAGTGGATAATAAGGCAAATTAAGGATTCTTAGAAATTCTCTGTGTCCAGGAAATAAATTAACTGCTTAGACAAACTAATAAATGAATAAGGATGACCAAAAGTCACCAAGGGAAAAGCAGAAGGTTCTTGATTTATACAATCAGCACACTTAAAAGATTTTTTTAAGTGTGTATGTGTGTGGGAGCAGGGGTCCTTGAAACAATACTGACAGGCTATAAAAGTGAACTGAGAAAATCTAAAGTAGACAGTGATGGAAGGCGGGCCTTAGGAAGAGCCACAACAATAAAAGATTCTTTAAATACTTTAAAGTGACCATGTAGGAGAGGGAACATTCAGGAACGTGAAAAACTGAACTAGGTTTTATTTTACTTTATTTTAACTTGGCTTCCTGGGGCCAATAAAGCGTATTAGAAATGGAAACAGTGTCAGAAGAGTGATAAATGAAGGGCAATTAGGAATTTCCCTTCAATAAATTAAGATGACTCAAGAAAAGATACTCTTGAGTGGAAGAAAAAGCTGCAGAGATTAATGCTGCCTTAATGCAGTGTTTGGTTGACTCCTTGGAAATACAAGAGATACTAGGGAAAATCAGAGCCAAGTAAATCTAGCACATTTCTAGAAATGGACCAGGGAGGAAACAGAAAATTGCTACAAGCATCAGGGGTAAAATTATCAAGTGCTTAGATATGTATGAGTTCAGAAATAAAACAATCTAATTTTAAGAAACGTTACCTCAATTAAAATCCTTGTAGTGGATTTTGGACATTTGGACATTTATATTTATAGAGAAGGCTGGTAAATAAACATTTATTGGCATCATCAACATATTCTTTACATGTTACTTGTTAACTAGCATCATAGAATAGAGACTGGCAGTTAAGGAAGGTTTAAGAGCACTTTAAACAATCCCTCCCTGCTTCAAGTCTCTAATAGTCTTAAGGAGCTGACATTGCTGTAGACACAAAGGTTACCACAAGTTTGGACATCCAATGATAGAGAAGCACATGCATTGTACAGTGCATGCATGAGCAAGAGAATCTCAGTCTCAGATTCATCTAAAAATAGAAGACCTCGAGCTGGCCAGTGTGGCTCAGTTAGTTGAGCTTTGTCCCATGCACCAAAGAGTTGCTGGTTCCATTCCTTGTTGGGGCAATTTTTCTCTCTCTTTCTCTCCCTCTCTCTTTCTCTAAAATCAATAAAGAGAGAGAGAGAGAGAGAGAGGATCTCAGGGAAAAGGTGCACAAGAAGAAATCCTTGCAGAGAGGTGATAGAACAATGGTTTTCTTGGCAGAGTGGCAAGTCAAGACAGGGTATTTCAGACATAGGATGAGCTTCTGAGAAGGCCTGGAGCCAGGAGTGGGAAACAGACTAAGGAACCCAGAGCAGAGCTTGCCAACAGCATAAGTTTGGTAAGAGGTGATAGAAAAGTTAGGTGTTCTAGAAGGGGACTCTAGAATAAGACAATCTGGGTTTGAGGTGCAGCTCCATAGTTTTAATCCTTTGCTTTGGTTGCCTCATTTCAAAAATTGGATTTTCATAGAACCCACCTTAAGAATTGTTCTAAAAGTCAAGGGAGCTAATACCTGAAAACTAACAGTAGCTATGGCGATGAATAAATTGCAGTCAGTTTGGGGATAAGAACATACCTTCCTCAGCATCATCTCTGGCTGACACTCTATTGCAGTGATGGCGAACCTATGACACATTTTTTGGTTGATTTTTCTTTGTTAAATGGCATTTAAATATATAAAATAAATATCAAAAATATAAATCTTTGTTTTACTATGGTTGCAAATATCAAAAAATTTCTATATGTGACACAGCACCAGAGTTAAGTTAGGGTTTTTCAAAATGCTGACACGCCGAGCTCAAAAGGTTCGCCATCACTGCTCTATTGCCTTCGAAGGGTTTA